GTCTGATTTCTGGATGTGAAAAGTAAGATTTAATGATGCAAGAGTCAATCTTGTTGAGAAAATTTGGAGAGAAAAAATATGAATCAACAGTTCAGAGAGCTAAGCTTGGATATATAATAAACTTTCACAAGCGCTTTGTTTAGCACACCAATGTGATAATTATGACCTTGCAAAGAATACAAGTTAATTCATGAGATTATTAGAAAATTTTGAGAACAATGTAATTTTTATTTTGCTGACAAAATGATAATTACGTTCACATCGGTACTTTGAAATAGTCTGACAACAATTGAGAATCGTTCCAATTTGCTATATTTAAAACTTTGTAGAACCTTACCACTTGATTTTTAACTAATATGTCGTCAATTTGAAAATTCCTTTTTTAATCGGCAGATAATGCCGCGGTTCTTATGATTATTCGCTTCAATGCTTTCGGCAATGAGCTCGTAATAAACACTCGACGCTCTTCTATAAGCGGCATCCTGTCACTGCCATTCATGGACATGCAGCCGCAGCATACGGTAGGTGATCTCATTTTTATATATTCCAAAAACCATTATCGCACCCAATATATACAATTTGAGGAAATATAAAAGTAAGGGGGGATATTATGTTTGGAATTTTTTAGTGGCAGAATTCTTTATTTTGCGAGCAGAATGTCATGCCATCTGATGGATTCTACGATTTCGTTGAAGAAGAAGGCGATCGACGAGCCGCTAACGTTCGCGAGAGAAAAAGAATGTGCAGCATAAATGTGGCTTTCATTGTAAGTGGTTATTTGTAATAACAGCAATATTATATGACCTTAATTGAAAGAAGTTTGTGCAAATGCCCATGCTTATCCATTTCAGGAGCTCCGCAACTACATCCCAACATTTCCCTTTGAGAAACGATTATCAAAGATTGACACATTGAACCTGGCTATAGCTTATATAAATATGCTAGAGGATGTTCTGAAGTAATACTTTTTACATATCTTCTGGTATCACTCCATAATGCAAAATTCCAGATCTCCAATGGATCCTCATCGTTATATTCGTCGATGCGTGGCTATGTCTCGAAACAGTCATCCCAATGCACCTTCATGGAGTACAAGTGGCAAGAATTACTAATACATAAGTTTACTGTTTTGGAGATATAACCTTTTAGCTCTTAAATAATAAAGGCAAAAACAAAAAACTAGAAGCTAACCAGCTTATTATATATCGTTTGCGAAGAAGTCTCACTCTACAGGATAGTACTGCATATCCAATGATTTTGATTTTGTTAGATAAGATGGTGATGAAACTGAGAATTTGGTGGTCCAACTTATCTGAAAGCATAATTGCTCGCATGCAAAAAGCTATTGCTGGATGATAAGTATGCTCCTAAGAAGATGATTATCATAGTATTATTGCTGCATGATTACGATAGATGTACGCTTGGTGATGGATCACTGATTAGACTGATAAATGGTATTTTGGCTAATGATGTCTGATTACGAGATTGTAAATTAAGAC